GCGTGGCCACAAGGACAGCGCTACAGACAGAGAAAATACCATGGACTGGCTCACTGGGCTTAAAGGTGCCCTCTGGTTGCCCACCGCGGGTGGGCTCTGCTGCAGCAGGACACGGCCCGCTGCCTTCCCACGAGCTCGGGGCGCCACTCCCCAGGAAGGATGCACCGCAGCAGATCTCCCATCGCTGCGTTGCCCAGGCAACGCCTCTCCTGCCCTCCGCCCGCATCCCTGCCCGCATCCCTGCCCGCATCCCTCCGAAGAAAAACCTTCCCCGACCAAAACCGGGATGGGTTTAGTCTGTGCAAGGTGGAGAAGCTTGTTGCTGCCCTGTGCGTGGCTGGATGTCAGCTCACGGCTTGCGGAGGCAGAGCTGCTGTCGGCAGCAGCTTTGCAGGCAGATTAATTCTGCTTGTTCAGCTGCCGGGGTTCCAGCCCGGCCATGAGCCACCAGCTCCTCCCGCGGCCGCTCTCATCGCCCGGCCCCGGCACACGCACACGGCCTCGGCGGCTGCTCCAGCCCTCACCACGTTGGCTTTGCCACGGGAGTTGCGACAGACCCGGCACGAGCTGCCGAAGGGCCGTCTTCTGCCAAGCGGCTCGTGTCCCAAAAGTGCTTTATTTCCCCACGTGCTCAGAGAAATTGTTGTATTTGCTGGACAAGAGTGACCAGGCTCGGGAGGGAGAAGAGCTGAGCTCATCTTCGGGGCTTTGGGATGTGATTAATGAAGGCTCTTTGCATCCTGCACTGTCATCTTGGTGCAGAGCATGGAAGAAACTGCTCTTTTCCATGTTTTTGTGCAGGCGTGAGGTCCTCCCAGGCTTCTCTCACGCCAGAAACAACCCCGTGATGGGAGCTCTGGACAAGCAGCCGTTTGTCCCTGCCCTTCTTGGACATCTGCGGCCTCCTGCAGCAGCAAGATGCTCCCTGCCCTGTCCCAGCGCCTTTTCTCTGTCCCTGGGTATTCCAGAAAACACTTTGGGGATGGTCACCTCACCCTTTGCCGATGTTTTTTTCCCCTTGGTTTGGGGACAGGAGGGCGGCATGCTAGCGGGCAGCTCCCTAGGGCTGCAGAGAGCGTTTCTCTTTGTTGAGAAGCGTCTGGTTTCTCCTGTATTTAATTACTCTTCCCTGTAGCTAACAGAGAGGAGGGGCATAGAGAAATGGGGGAAGCTGGAAAGAAATCGCTTCGCCTGTGAAAACGCACCCTGGGTGCGGATCAAAGGCCAGAAAGTGGATCCTCTTGTCACCTGCCCCCCTTTTAAAATAAGTCCCAGCAAGGCAGCAGCACCTGCATGGCCTGCTGGTGGCTCCAAAGCTCCCAAAAACCTGTCTGGGGCAGAGCAGCTGGGCTGCCAGGGATGATACGGGCTCGTCCATGTGGCTGGAGCTGCCTGCACTGAGTTTCTCTCCCCCATCCAGCACAAAAACGTACGTAAAAGCCCCAAATACGACAGCAAAGCCTCTCCCTGCTCCGGCTCCCTGGGAGGCTGAGCTGCCCCAAGCCTCTTATCTAAATCTTTGCTTGAGCTCGCCGCTTTAGCCAGGAACTGGAGCAACCCCCATGCCATGACCGTCCTCCTGTGGGGTGTCCCTGCCATGGGGGCACCTGGGAACGGCGGAGGCAGAGGCTGGTCCCAGCATGAATGATTCAGGAGCGGCAAAGGGCTGGCTTGGGTTTCAGCTGGGGCTGCGAAGGCAGGAGCCAGGTTATCGGGTGTCTCGTTGCGTTGGGGGAGGGACGGGGAAGGCTGGAGATCCCCAGGGATGAGTGGAGGGATGTGGGGATGAGTGGAAAAGTAGGAAAATGTGGGTGATGGTATCAGCTCCTATGGCCAGTCCCCTCCTCCTGTTCCACCTCCCCAGTATGTCATCAGGGAGTCACCAGTTGCTGCAGGCACCAAATAACCCAGCAAACGTTATCCCCGTACCCCTCGTTAATCCCCACGGGATCCCGAGCGCAGCAGGGAGCCCCGCACCCCGGCCCTGCAGCGCTCGGTGCTCTCGGACCGACGCTGTGACCGCTGCGCCGTGGGCAGAGCCGGAGCGATGGCATCGGGCGATGGTGGCGTGAAAGCCCCCCCAGGTAAGCAGAGCCGGGCTGGGGCTGGGCTGTTGGTGCCGCCTGGTTTCGCAGCAGCACGGGAGGGGGAAGCATCGCCCGTGTGCCGTGAGTCTGCTGGGTCTCAGCTGCTCTGACAGGCTTCGCTTGCTGCAAAATCCCCACTGGTAACCAGTAAGAGGGAGCAAATGGAGCACAGAGGGTGTGCTGGTGTCCCGTTCCTGGCCAGCCCCCCACTGTGGCAGAATAGAGGAGGGGCCAAAGAGGGAAAAGCAGCTCTGGCCGGACCATTGGCAGCCCCCGGCCCCCCGATCCTCACCCCC